GCAATGATTCTAAGTGTGAAAAATTGTCATAAGTCAGTGTTGTAACTTCAAATGGTCACTAAACGAATGGTTGTAAGTCAAGTGTTATTTGTACTCATCTTTATATTCATTTCAACATAACAGGGAAGGTCCCAACAATAAAAACATAAAATGCACAATTCTGGGCAACTGGAGTCTTCTTAAGTGAGCAGGACTCAATTATGACATTGTGGTTTGTTTACGGTATTTATTTTAGCTAATGAGCAGAGGCAGCAAAAAGAAGCGGGCACTTTGAGATGCCATGGCCTAGAGATAGAGGGGTCACAGAAAAAGAGGTTGTGTTGTAGCCTGTCGGCCACCGGCCCGGCAGCTGAATCAGAGGAGGAGGTGTGGGAGTCAGTGTCAGCATCAAGGCAACCAGAGAGTTCTGAGAGGGAAGTGGGAGTGGAGCTGCCAGAAAGAGAGAGACAGAGGCAGAGCCTTGGCCCTCCATCAGCCCTCAGATGGAGAGTCAACAGCTCCCAGGTCTGGAGGTGGCTGTTGAGAAAGAGGAGGAACAGCTGAGTCCAGTGCCTGACGTGTGGATGCACAGAAGGCAGAGGAGAGGAGAGCAGTGGAAATTCATGGGCCGATCTTTGGGAGGAAAGAGCCACTGCAACAAGCAAAGCTCCACCCTAACTCTGGGGATAAAAGGCAGGGGGTGGAGATGAATAGATGTGGCAAACAACTATTCATCTCCCTGCCAGATGGACTTGTTAGCCTGCGGTGAGAGAGAAACTTTTTTGCCAGGGCTGCTGGCGCTCCTAATAAAGGAATCTTTGAGTTAACTTCAGAGGGTTTGTCGCGTTTGGGAAACTGGGACAAAACAGGTTGGCACAGATGAAACAGCAATCATAACTCATAAATATTGGCATTGTCAGGATTGTTTAACCTGGCAGCCATTCCTTTGTTGTTGAGAGACTTAATCCTGCCTCATGATGCAAATGTTACATGTGCTTATTCAGAGCTTAAATCTGAAGCCCCTCTTCGGAGTGCTAAGCTGAGCAGCCAGTTATGGTGGCAGGATAAACACAGGGACATCACGTAACATGCCGTTAACACATGATAAAGGTATGAATATTGGTCTCAGGGCACAGCCAGATGGCTGCATTAACCTGGAGTGCCAGAAAAATTGGCATAAATTGTGCTGCTCTCTCATTTTGCCTCTGTCATGAGAATTATGTAAACTGGGCAAGAGGGAGGGGGGCAACCTTAGCAACTTTCAGACTTGTGGAGTTCAACTCCCCGAATTCCCCAGCCAGCATGAGTTGAAATCCACAGGTCTTAAAGTTGCCAAGGCTGCCAACGTTGCCAAGGTTGGACACTCCTGATGTACGTAGTTCTGTTATTAGTTTAAATGTAGAAGAAGTGGAAGAAAGTGATTGATGGATTCTCTTAGCTACCTTCCACCCACCCCTGTGCTATTGAACTTCATTGGACAATGGAAAAAACTACCACCAATTACTTTCCTTAATGTGTGGTGGAGGCCTGGAGTTGTGCATTGAACCATCTTTCAAGTAGCCCTAGCAACAGGCCCTGGATGCAGAGGTACTCCACATTTTTCTCTTTCATTGGGGATATTTTTTTGAGAAAACAGGTCTAAGCACAAAACAAACACTCTTTTAAAGAGTGCTAAACCCATCTCCAAAACAGATCACCAGCTCTGAGGAAGGGCATTGGATGAAGTAGGTGATAGGGATCGATCATGGTCAAGCCCCTTCTTGACTAGTTGCAGTAAAAGAACAAAAGTGCTGATTACAAGTAGCCATGTCACCTGTGGAATAGGCAAAATGTTGCTATCACTCCCTCCAAAACAAAATAATAAAAACATGTGGCCACAAACTTTCCTAAAGAAAGCTGAAGAAAACTTACAATCCAATTATAATGCGATCATTGCTAATAGCATCAGCAACATATTACTCAACTCGGCAGTCTTTCCCAATTTAAATCAACCTGTGCAAAAATTGGATTCGTTTAATGACCACTTTATTCATTTAACAACTGAGTGATTCATTTAATAACCTTTATAAAAAAGTCGCAAAACCGGGCCTGCCTCACTTAATAAATACCTTGTTTAACAACAGAAATTCTGATCCCAATGGGGATCATAAGTCAAAGACTACCTGTTGTTAGAGAGATGTGGGGACAAGCCCTCAGAGCATCCTTCATTTCAAGCAAACCCTCCACATTTTCCACATAGGGAAGTAAAGTTGCAAAATTGTACGTTGTCTATCACAATCCCCAAAGCACCAGAAAAGACCTCAGATGTACAGAGCCCCTTTCCATTTGCGCTCCATTTTGATTAGCAAATTTGCTTCAACGGGATCTGATGGCATTCCGTTTGACTGAAGCTTTGCTGAATGGAAGGCTATCAATTCCCACATGAGTATTATTGCTGGGAAAACATTCAAATCCTAAACACAAAACCTAATTTGAAACATAATCAAAAACAGCTTGCTTTATGCTACCCAGTAATATGGAAATGCTTTGAGAATGAAAGAAGAAAATAAAGGTATTTGCTGCCATCTGTTGCTGTAAATGTTCGCTGAGGCAAAGCACAGTTACAAGAACTCCAAAGCTGTGTTTTTAGCACCAGAAATAACTTGCAATGAGATGTCGTAATCTCAAAGAGATCTGGGGATTCTTGGTGCTCTGAGCACTCCCATAGCCAGTGGGTGGACTATGAAGAAGCTACTTATTTTTCAGTTGATTCACAAGGACTCCCTGATTGTTATTTCACTTAAGGAATGAATGTACTAACAGAGAAGTAATCAGAGAAGGAAAATAACTTCTAAGTAACTTCTAAATTCTCTTACAAAAGCCCTGTATGTGTCTGGCCAGATGTACCCCTCCTTCTTATTTTATGTAAGAAGTCCTGATGCAGCTAAAAAGAACATACAGTAGTGTTTTATTATATTAGTATTCAGGGGTGGGTTCTACTTACCTTTACTACCGGTTTGCATTGTGCCTGCATGCTCTTCTGCGTATGCGCAGAAGCTTCTGTGCATGCGCAGATCACCTATGATGACGTCCGGGTCAGTGGGCGGAGCCTCCTGGTGAACCTGTCCGAACTGGGGGCAACCCACCATTGCTAGTATTATTCTAATATACTGGGGTGGGGGGAGGAAGAAAAGAAAGGAACGTAACTCAAGCAAAATGAACTATGATACATATTTTAACCAATCAGCTCAGTTTTTAAAGTTATTAATCCATGATCACTAGAAAACTGATTGGTCTTTCCATTACATCGATAGAGCCAGCTCATGAGCAGGGACAACATCTGAGAGAAATGGACGGTTAAGAAATATGAAAAATGAATGAATGAATGAATAAATTAATTAATAAATCAATAAATTTCATTGATCCATATCTTTACATTGTAAAATGTGGTGTTTTTGTTTTGCACCTCTCCAAAACTAGGCAAATCCTTCACTGTTCATTTTGAAAAATGATGTTTGGAAACATAATGCAAAATGACATCCATATTTTTAAATCTTACCACTTGTCCCAAAACCATATTAACAAACTTACGAACACAAATTAGAACAAAATAATAGTGGGGCTGGTCTATATTATCATACAGATTAGTCCTTGAATTATGACCTTAATAGAGGCCACAAGTTCAGTTGTAAGTCATTATGGTTATAAAGTAGGTCACAATGTGACAGCGCCTAATTCTATGATCTTTTTTGCAGAGGTTGTTAAGTGAATGCGGCAGTTGTAAAGCGAAACCATTGTTCACTATGGGGCATTTTTTGCCAGAAACTAGAAGTAAATGCCCATTTCTGGCAAAAAAAAAAAAAGTCATAAATTACAGTCACATGCGCAAGGAATGATGTCAATGGCCGTAAATTTGGGCAGTATTATATCACTTTCGATATAATAATTTTGAGAACCAGCTTTTTAAAAACAAGTTCTGACATGTCCATGAAAAAAAGGTCAGCTTAATTTCATTTTAAGATCATAAAAAACACACTTAACATTCTTCAAAATCCATCAGTCTTGATGTGTTGCCATGGGGTGGGGCATTGCAACTCTTTGTTGCAAAATTTTGCAAGTAAGTTCGAAAAATGCTTACATTTGTAAGCATGTTTGCTCTAAGGTCTTTTACATTCCAAAAATGGAAGGCCTCATACTTTTCTAAAACCCTGTAAATTGCACACACAATATGGAGGTGGAGGGGAATGGAGGGAGGGAAGGAGGGAGGGAGGGAGGGAGGGAGGAAGGAAGGAAGGAAGGAAGGAAGGAAGGAAGGAAGGAAGGAAGGAGCAGATTCTATCTCCCACTGCTACAACTTCAACCAAACCAAATTACGGCGTATCAATGACAAATGGAGGCAAATATACATGTGTCCCAGGTTAATGTTGCAGGATCCAATCTGGGTCAGTCACTGGGACCAGAAATTTAGTCTTCCAAACTTTCTGACTCATTCTGGAGCCCATCCTCAGGGAACTTCTTTCTCTCTACCAGACTGTAGAGAGAACTATCTCTTGAACCCAAGTCCCCCTCCCACCCATCAATCTTACATGTTTTACTATTAGCTAAGATAGGTATGGGGTCCAAGAGAGGGAACAAGAGCTGCCATAATCCTTGTCATCGTTTTTGTAACAAACAGTACAACAATGTCTTAAGACGCATTATTTGAGAGTGAATTAAATGTAAAATAAGAGAGAGTTCTGATTCCTTAAATTCTAGAACAATGGAAAGGACTTCTGCTATAGACTGCTATTAATGCCATCTCCCAAACACCACATTCTTGTCTGGAAGCTACAGTTTCCATTGTCTTTGCTGCTTGCAAAACTTATAATGGAACGGGTTTTTCTAGCAAAAGAATACTGATTTTATCTTTAATGAGCAACCTATGATTTAGCTTCGGGAAATTGCTTCCTGGCCCTAAACTGCTTGCTAGCTGGGACTGCCGTACCACTTCAAAAACTGACAGTGGAGACTGTTCTTGTTACATCCAGGGGACAAATCCTGACATGCTGAGAGTTGCTGCTGATGTTAGCATGGAGCAAGAAAACTTGTCTTCTAAAAATGAGGACGTTCTCAGCTGGGATATTAATGACGTCAAACTTCCCAAGGTAGGTAGCTCTAACATAATGCTTATTTTACACCATCATAAATTATTATTTTTCCATATTAACTTTTGCAGAAACCATGGTCTGTCTTTAGTCACTATTATTAATGCAGCATTTATTGGTATTATTCCATATACTACTACATGCATCAGAAGTTAAGTGGAGTTGAACCTACTTGGTATTTGGATAAGAGACTACCTGGTGGGTTAAAAGTTGAAAACTTCTTCAGAGAAAGCAATAACAAATCATTTCCATTCTTTTTTCAAGAAAATTACATGGACATGTCCACTAAATCACTAATTTGATTCAGAATATGCTGGAATGGGATGAGATGGGATGGGATGGGATGGGATGGGATGGCATGGCATGGCATGGCATGGCATGGCATGGCATGGCATGGCATGGCATGGCATGGCATGGCATGGCATGGGATGCATCTGAACTGAGAAAGATGGCTGTGTGTTGAAACTAACATTGTTTCCGTGGATTCATATTAAACAAGACTAAGTAAACCATGATATAGTCTTATATGTGATCCATTCAGTACACTGTTTCTTGAACTAAGCAGAATACATTTCTGTGTATATACTATTTTATTTAAATCTGTATTGATCTATTTCAGTGTTTCCCAATGCCAGCAACATTAAAATGTCTGGACTTCAACTCCCAGAATTCCCCAGCCACCATGCACATCTCAAAGTTGCCAGCATTGGGAAACACTGATCAATGGCATTAGTCAACATCCAATCCATTGTCAACATTATCATCCAAAGCTAACACGTAATTCAAACCTCCCTTTGAAACCTCTGAAATTCACTGGTTGATCCTGATGTTACAGAAAGGTGTAGAGAATTCATCAAATATTTGTGAGGCCCTATTAAATTGGTCAAAATGGGCTTGGCAGCTTGTATTCTTGTTCCAGCAATTGTTGCTGTATTATTGCAACATATTTTTTTTTCTATTCTTTGACCAAACTAATAGTCACAAGCTAATGTGTCATTTTTCTGAGGAAAAATGCCGCATCAATTTGCATTTCCCCTGTGCACACATGAATTAAAACCACATCTTGCAAGAAGACAGATATATTTGGAATTCTTGAAGATGAGTGTAATTAACATTTCCCCTCCTGGGGAATGTAATTAACCTAGTTCTGTTATTCTTAGACATCCTAATATTTAATGGCCCGAGGTCAGCAAGTAATAATCCATGAATTAAATATAGAAGTTAATAATGTATAAAAACCACCCAAAAAAAGGGTACTTGAAACCTACTTTTGTCCTTGTACCTCCATCTCATGATATTAAAACAAGACAGATATTGTGGCTTGAACACAATTAATCAGTCTTGAAGCTGAAGAGATATTCGCTCATCACGCTTAACTAAATTTCCATTGATTTCAGTGAAACATCCAATCTTATTACTGTATGTATATGACAAAAGGCTAAGGGCCATGGATGGGAAGTTAATGCCTAAATATTTTCTCTTCCAACCTTTTGCAAGTCCTCTTTCTGAGTGTGTAGTCTAAACTTTTCAAAATCATCTCAGCCTGCATCACAAACTCAGAAATCTGCAGAATGAAAAACAGCTGTATTACTTTTTCTCTCTCTTTCTTCGTTTCAAATGTGGCTTCCTCACAGGATGTGAAACAGATAGACTGGTTTCAGGAATGGCCTGATTCCTACATAAAATACATCTACAGCGCAGATGATAAAAATGCTCAGAGGCACCTGAGTAGCTGGGCCATGAGGAACACCAACAATCACAACTCGCGCATATTGAAAAAATCCTGCCTTGGTGTCGTGGTCTGTGATAGTGATTGCTCCACTTCGGACGGAAGGAAGTTGTACCTGAGACCAGCCATATGTGACAAAGCCAGGCAGAAACAGCAAAGTAAGTAGGGACAAGATTCTTCATCTATGCTCCTTGAGGTGGCTTCTTTTGCATAGAAAATATTTTCAAGCATTATCCCTATAAGAACCTTTCTACTTGCAATCCAAATAACTTTAATCACAAAAACCAATCTAACCCCCCCTTGTTTTTTTTGTTTTTTTTCTAAATCTGCAATCTAATGTTAAGCTCCTTCAAAAGTTCAGTGGAGATTCCGCTGAAATAAATTAATGCAAAATCTTCAAGATGATGCACCGAGTAACAGTAAATCATTGTGCTAGGGGAGGTGGGGTTTAACCTCAATTGATTTTGGCAGTGGAAACCGAAGTATCCAAAATGTAAGTACAGTGCATCACATCAAGAGACACCAAAGTTTTTTTTTTTTAGATGACCACAGGCAGGTCTTTGGTAGACACATGTGATGGAAGTGTTTAACCTCAGAGGTTCATGTAATTCTTCTACCTCATGTTCAAAGTTCCTTCCTCCTAGTGTTCATAAGGCAGTTTAAAAAATTCTCTTTTGCTATGGTTTTCAATCAGTTGATAATTTGAGGGCATACATCTTCTTCTTGTTGTTGTTGTTAGCCTCCCAGAAGCTACAAATTGGAGCAGATCTCCACAATAGTGGTGTTTAAAATTAAACATAAATAAATATTAGAAGAGCAGGAGAAACCTTGTTCTTTCTCTGTCTGTAGATTAGCTTTAGAAATCAGAAGAGGACTGCTCCTTTATTTTTATTTTTTTGAGTTGTACGAGGCTAACACTTGTGTTCTGAAGTAGCTTCATTAAGAAGATCTTCTAAATGCATCATAGAAAATAAGAAATGAGATCCCATAATTTACACAATTACACATTTTTCCAATTTCTTCGAGGAAAATTCCTTAAGGGCCTTTGGTAGTTAAAAAAAAGAACCACAATGAGGAGTTTTATAAAATTTCCTGACATGTACTGGAGACAGGACTACATGAAGATATTCAAAGACATGTCAGTGGTGAAAGATTTTTCCCTTATTGACATATTCCTCCCCTATTAATCCATTCTACTAATATATGGAATAGGACTAAGAGAATTTGTGAATCATTATTGTCTTCAAAGCACCTTTGGGGAGCTATTGTTAATCTTTCGATATTTGTTTTGATCTACCATATGAAATGAGAAAGATTTCCAAATTATTGTGCTGATGATTCCATCAAATATCTACTCCCCAAGAACTATTATCCAATGGAATGGAAACCTCCTTCTATTTAAACAATTAGCCCAAGGGTAAGCAACTTTTGGGGATAAGTGTACTTAGTTGAAATTTAAGAGCTTGTTGGGGTTGTTTTCACAGACCAGCTGTCATGAGAGAGGCTTATACATATACAGAGTGATTACATGTAATGTATACACACTGACCAAAAGATACACTGCCAAGATTCCTCCTGCCCCTCCTCTCGTTCTCCCTCCCTTTCTCCTTCCCTCCCTTTCATTTTTAGATCAGATGGACACATTTTCAAACAAAACCCTGTTGTGCAGTCACAGTCTCCCATTTTATTTTATTTTTAAGGATGTCTGTCGGATATACCTAGGTTCGAAAGGCATTCTTGTAAGTAACAGGAGTTGCCGTCCATATTCCACCTATTTATATTCCATATACCTGTTTTAAATATAAGAATCCTCCTGGAGCAATGGAGCAGAACATGAATAATTGCTATAAAATTTACTAGCGAAACGTAGAGAATTAAATAGGATAGATAGACAGTGTCAGCAACATTTGGACTGAAGGACCTACAGGTAGAATAGGAGATCCAGGTGAAGCCATTCACCATTCTTAGCTTCTGCAAAAGAGAACCTGAAGAAAGATCAGGGGCAGAAAAAGATCCTATGAAAAACAATGCAGAACAATATCTCAAGGAGGAAAGGAGCAAAATGGTTGTCAAAACAAGTTATCATGACAAACAAAAAAAGATGGAGGATGAAAGGCTTGGACTGCAAGAGAGATGCTGAATGCAGACTCTCAGTGTCAAGCAATTAAAGGTCAAGAAAAGATACCTCAATCAAAAGAATCAATAAATAAGAAATAAATAACAGGGAAAAGAATAATGAAAGTGATTTTTAAGATGATCTCAAAACCATAGAAAAGTTTACAGTTAACGTAGGGATACTCAAAACTAATCACAGTGGAGATCTAATATAAGAAAATGAGGTTTTAAGAAGTTGGAAAGATTATAATGAAACTCTTCACAAATTGGACTATAGAATGAATAAATATATAAACTAAATTATATATAAATTGCCATATATAACATTATATATAAAATTTAAACATAATTTATCTAAAAGATATATATACGATTGCCTGTCTTATATATTATAACCCTGGGTTGCTCACACATATACAATCACACAAGGGGAGAAAACACCAGATCAACAGGCAGGTTTCAGAAAAAGAAGGGGAACATGAAATCAGATAGCTAACATGCATGTGCGCAGAAGATTATTTATCCAAGGAAGGAAAGCTGTATGTGTGTATGTATGTGTGTGTTTAATGAAATTCCATATGATGGAGGCACTTTTTCCATGACTTCCCATTGGACGATTCATGACTGCTGTGCCCTCCCACCTGTCTGTTCTTAAAAAGCAGCGGCCAATCACTTTCTTTCCATGAGGATATTCCTAAATAAATATGCTTTTATATGGGTATGCATGTATATATACTTGTGTGTGTGTATGTGTATTTACAGTATATATATTTTCAGTGTAACTGTAAATTAGTTTGCATGTATACATATGTATTCATAGATATGTGCAGACCCATGCAGAGGGTATATATATATTTTCTCAGTTTTCGCGGGTGTTTGTATGTAGGTCTTTGGTTATTCGGGTCTTCTCCCACATAAAATTGGAAGTGTCTTGGCGACGTTTCGACGAAGTCTCATTTGTCATCTTCAGGCTGGTGTTCTCGGTTGAAGAGGTTGAAGAGAAAAATGCTTTGAAAAGCCTCTGATGATCCCAGCTGAGCGGTACGGTCATCAGAGGCTTTTTTTTTTAACTTTTAAAAGCATTTTTTTCGGCGGAAGAGATTGTAGAAAAAATGCTTTAAAAAGTTTTTTTTAAAAAAGCCTCTGATGATCGTGCGGCTCAGCTGGGCATGGGGGGGATGCAAGGATTTTTGCTACCTGTTCTCTGAACCACCCGCCACCATCGCTATGGCTCCTGGTTCAGACCGGGCAATCCGGTCTGAACCAGGAGCAATTCATCCCTGGCTGACTCTGTAAACACCTTAGAGGGGGCTGTAACGCACTACAAAGTGGTATATAAGTCTAAGTGCTATTTTATTACTACTATGGACTGCAAGAAGAACCAATAAGTCCTGGATAAGCTAAAACTGACTAACTGCTTCCTTGAGACTACGATCAGCAAACAGAAAATCAAATCTTTCAGGTATCTGACGCTAACAGATGGTGGCCCATGCTGGGCAATACTGAAGAATGTAGAAGGCAGAAAATTCAACAGGTGAAGTGGATGGGTGGGATAGAACAGATTACTAAAATCTTCTTGGAGGTATACAGATTGTTGCTGGATCTACCTTTGTTCCTCTCCAGGTCTCCAGGATTTGAGCCTGACTCGATGGCACCTACAGGTGGTCCTTGACTTACAACCATTCCTTTAGTGACCGTTCAAAGTTACAATGGCACTGAAAAAAATGACATGACCATTTTTCACCTTTATGACCATTGCAGCATTCCCATGGTCATGTGATCAAAATGTGATTATTGGCAATTGGCATGTATTTATGACATGTATCACCATTTACAATCTTCCCAACTGGATTCCCACTTGCAAAGTCAATGGGGAAAGCCAGATTCGCTTAGTGACCACATGGTTCACCTAACAATTGCAGTGATTTGCTTCATTGTGACAAAAAGGTCATATAATGGGACAAAACTCACTTAACAGCTGCCTTGCCTAGCAACAGAAATTTTGGGCTCAACTGTGGTCATAGGTCAAGGACTACCTATAATTAACTAATCTCCTTCTCTTTTCCCACTTGCTTTACAGATGTGGTATAATATGCTTTGCCATTATATTTGAAAAGTATTTTAAAAATGTTAAGTAATGTAAAGCATACTTTTACAAGCTGATGCTTATCGTTAATAGTGTTGTAAAAAATATTGCAATGGTAGAGAAAGTCAGATAAAGTATAACTTTCTACTACTAAGTTCTTTTACAAAACAACTCAAGGCAATTTTGGAACGCTGTAAATAGATACTTGTTAAATATTATTGCTTGGAAAAATATGAACAGTGATATTTATTGAGGCTGTAATCGTATGTCCATTGATTTCAAAGGGTTTTCTTTCTGGGTAAACATAATTGGGTTTATGTTATGAAATCATGGATAGGTGGACTAGACTAGACTAGACTAGACTAGACTAGACTAGACTAGACTAGAACAGAACAGAACAGAACAGAACAGAACACTTTATTTGGCTAAGTCTGATTAGACACATAAGGAATTTGTCTCCAGTGCAGAAGCTCACAGTCAGTGGGGAAATCCAAATTTTTTTACTATCGGTTTTGTGGGTGTGGCTTGGTGGGCGTGGCTTGGTGGGCATGGCAAGGGAAGGATACTGCAAAATCTCCATTCCCTCCTCACTCCTGGGTGAAGGATATTGCAAAATCTCCATTCCCACCCCCTCTGGGGCCAGCCAGAGGTGGTATTTGCTGGCTCTCTGAACTATTCAACATTTCTGCTACTGGTTCTCCAGAACCTGTCAGAACCTGCTGGATTTCACCCCTGCTCATGGTGTACATGCAAAGCATGTACTGGGTGTTTGTAGTTTTTAATATAAGGGCAAAATTTTTAATATATTTTAAACTGTTTTTTAAATTTTGTGGGTATATGGCTGTACACCGCCCTAAGTCCTTCGGGAGAAGATCGGTATAAAAATTTAATAAATAAATAAATAAATAAAGCAGCAGAATAATAATTATCATCATCATAATACAAATAAGAAGGGGAAATAAAGAAAATAAGAATAAGAATAAATGATAACATACAGCTATATTACATGGTAAACATACATAGACATTAGACTGTGAGAATTAGGTGTTCAGCAGACTGATGGCATGAGGGAAAAAATTGTCATCCTGAGGGGAGGAGTTGAAACAATTTATGTCCAGAATGTGAGGAATCTGTGGATGTCTTCTCAGCCCTCCTTCTTACCTGCGAAATATACAGGCAATTATTTTAAAAATGCATATCTATAATAGTGGAATAGCAAAAATTACAGTTTTATAGACTATGGATGTTTTTTCAAAGGAAAATCCTTCCCTACTTAGAGAGGATATTCCCTGCTAAATGGGCATGGGATTGAATTTTGGAAAACAAATTCTATAACTTGTATGACTGAGATATCCTTTATTTCTAGAACGAATATTTAGGATTTATAAGCAAGTAAAAGTTGAATAGGTTTCAATGATATTTAGTGGACAGAACAATGGATAGAAGTAATTCCATTTGTTTCAGTGGGCTCTACACATTGTTAAAAAGCCAAAATCCACTTGTAGATTCCTTTTAATCCAACCCCAGGTAGGGCCACTGCTGAAATTTCTGGCACTGTAGTCCATATATCTGGTGGGGATCCAGGTTTGGGAATTCTATATAAACTATGATTTAGATGCTCATGATGATGATTATTGCTATATGACCTGAAGACCGGATTAACCTTACACTATGTTTTGAATGCCATTAAAGAATGGTCTATATATTCTTCAGGGAAACCATGTCCTAATTGTAATGGACCTTTGAAATTGATCCCATGTCGAGGCCATGGTGGATATCCTGTAACAAATTTCTGGAGACACGAAGGACGGTTCATATTTTTTCAGGTAAGCAAAACCAAAACAAATATTGAATTCAGTTAAAGCAAGTGAGTTCACGTGGACCTGTTTATTTATTTTGATGATGAGCATTGCATGATATTGAAAAAGTAGGAACAAAAACCTGGTAGGAACAATGATGAAAGAGGACTACACCCTTTGGTTCTCCTTGGAAGCTTCCAATATCCATCTCATTGGCCATAGTGGACCCAGGATATAAACCAGGGGTCAGCAACCTGCGGCTCTGAAGCCATATGTGGCTCTTTCACCCCTCTGCTTGCGGCTCTCTGTCACTCACTCAAAATATGCATTACAACCACCAATGTGTGACACCCACCGGCACACTATTTATTGAGCTTTTCAACCCCCGGTAGGCCAACTATGGATAAATCCAAGAAAAGAAAAGTTTCAGAAGAAAACAGAACATTTAATTCGACTACATATGCTAGTTTTGTGGCCGCTCAAGAAATAGTCAGGCACAGGAAGGGATTTGTGGCTCCCGGTATTTTCTTTTCTGTGGGAAATGGGTCCAAATGGCTCTTTGAGTGTTTAAAGTTACTGACCACTGAAGTAAACTAATCAGGTTTTTGTCCATCAGGATGTTCTTAAACCAGGGAATGTTTGGCCTTATGTTCTGCAATGGGGGTTCCAGGAAGTCTTTCTAATTTGGGGCCAATTTATACAAGTTGGGTCATACCAGCAACTGCCAGATGTTTTTTGAAAAAAATGATACAGAACTTGGCACAACACCCCCAACTAAATCCAGAAAAGCTTCTAAATTTCTGTCTTTGTTCCCTGATCTACAGAGACCTGGCCATAGTGTGTCTCCATTAAATCATTAGAGCCCAACCATGTCCTTAATTATTAAAGGTAAATCCCATTGGATTATATGGTAGCCACAGAAAATTCCTTGGGTCAACATTTCCACCCAAACCTTGGGTCATTTAGATTTAGAGGCCCCATTCTGGAATTTACACCTCTTTCACTGATTTGCATGATGCTATAAGTTGCTTCTTGTCTTTATATCATTATGCCTCTCTTCATTTATTTGTTAAGTCAAAGGGAGCTCATGATCACCCAAGACCAGAAACCAAATTGGAAGCAGAAGCAAGAAGGTCAATACAAAAAGCATATATTTCAATTTCTCCAAGACTGAAGAGGAACAGAGAGATGGAGGTAAATTTTCATAGAATCCAATACCCAAACGACCATGTACTGTTATCACAGATTGGATTCCTGAAGCTGAGCATCCAGTGAGGATTTTTTTTTTTTTAATTTGATTTATATGCCGCCCTTCTCCGAAGACTCAGGGCGGCTTACAATGTGCTCAGCAATAGCCTTCATCCTTTTGTATATTTATACAAAGTCAGCTTATTGCCCCCACAAACTGGGTCCTCATTTCACCTACCTTAGAAAGGATGGAAGGCTGAGTCAACCTTGAGCCTTGGCGAGATTCGAACCCTGCAGTAATTGCAGGCAGCTGGTCTTAATAAGCTTAATAACAGGGTGCCTTAAACCCCTGTACTACCAAGGATTCAGCATGTAGTGGGGATTTTTTTTAAAAAAAAAATTGATTTATATGCCACCCTTTTCCGGAGACTCAGGGCGGCTTACAGTGTGTTAAGCAATGAATTGATTGAAGGTTTGGTATTAGTATAGCCTTAGTACAATTTGCCCTCCCTGTAGTTATGTTCCTCAATTGGGATGGTTCCTTTGGTGGCAATCAAGTGACAAAAAGTGGCAACCATTTCTTTATAAGGTAATAATCCAAAGAGAAGTCAAGCTAAGAGGCAGCACTTAGTCAAATTTGGCTAATCTAAATAAATAAAAAACAAAACAAAACCTCAAAGTCACACTAGTTAACACTTGTATTGGAGACCACAAAAAACAAACACCAAAACCGTCAACTGGGAAGTCAACATGTCAACTTCTGGGAGGAGGCAATGGCCAACCCCTTCCATATTATTATGTTTTATTGATTTATATCTTTGTGGTACATTGCCCAGAATCACTTTTTTTGTGAGATGAGCAGCTGCATAATTTGATGTGTAAATAAATAAATAAATATTATTTCTAAGACACCCAAAAGGATATTTACATGGAATCACCAGGATTCAAGCTCAATGGAAAGGACACTTTCCCTGTAAATTTATTGTTTTTTAAATATGAATTTATTATCTCTGTAATGTTATTGTTTTTTAAAATATTATTTGTTGTTTTGTCATAAAAAATAAAAGAGAAGGGAGAAAAACAAACAAAACAAAAGCATACATTCAACACTAGCAGCAATAAAAAAAAAGAGAAAAAGTAGCATACAAAAAAAGAGGAAAAAATTGATCAAATAAATTTAACATTTAACATGTAGGATCCACCCTGGCTGGGTGCTATAAAAAAGAAAAAACAGTAACTTCTCCTCCCCTTTTTAATTTATTAATTTCAAAATCCATTCTTCAACAGTTGGCATCCCTTTTTCTTTCCAGTGTTTGGCAAGTACAACCCTCACAGCCATTACCATGTGAAGGACTAGCACCCCAAATTGTTTTTTCAATTGGCTTGTCCATCATACCTAAAAGAAAAGCTTCAGGTTTCTTTTTCTTTTTTTAAAATAGTTTTTATTAAATTTTCCAACATTTAAAACACATAACACAAATTTACACTTAGAACAGCTTTTCCATATCAGTATCCATATCTTTCATAGCAATCATATTAACAAAAAATTCTATTCCTATATATCACTATCCTATATTATATCCCTATTTAAACTATAATAACATCTACTCACAAATCAATATCATATATTTCTTATAAATTGTACATACTATATATTATAGCTTCAGGTTTCATTAATATTTGTATCTTAAATATTTTTGCATTGTCATTGTTATGTTTATTCAGTATGTTTTCACATATTTGCAAGGCCTCCACATATCATAAATTGAATCTGGATTTTGACGACATTTCTAGCACTTATTAGAAATCCCTTTATACATTTTCGCTAGTCTATCTGGGGTTAAGTACCAATGATACATCATTTTATAAAAGTTTTCTTTCAAGCTATAATTTAATGTAAATTTTAGTCTATTCGTCCATGCATTTTCTGATTTATCTAGCGTTATATTATATGCAAAACGTTTTGCCCAAAATTTTGGGTGTAATAATGTCATTATTAAGTTAGTTATCAACTCCCTTAGAAAGGAATTGCTTTCATTTGCTGAGGCTTTTCTTTCTGGCTCTATTTCTGGAGGGAGAAAATTTTACATTTTCTCATTAGTCCTACTCACAAGCAACTTATTGCTTGGCTAAAAAAAATAATAATACAGCAGATGTAACCATCCAACCCTGAAAAAGACAGGATCCTGCTTTAAGGTCAAGATAGATGTAAGGAGAAAATGGAAAAAGCAGAAAAAATGAGTTAAAAGTTCTTCCTAATGGAGAACATGACTCCCTCTTTGGGTTAAGTTGACTGATCCTATCTGGCCTTTCCCCTCCCAAACTGTCAAATTTGCCCTTTTCTGAGTTTTCACCATCTGTGTGAGAACTGATTCTCACAGTAACTGTGAACATTCAAAAGGTTGAAAAGTCCAAAGAGCAGAGTGACTTCACATTATAATTTGAGTAGTAACTTTTGGAGTTCAGCTATAATTTTGCTTTGAGAATGAATGGATCTTTATTAGAGCTGAATTGTAATATGATGGATTTTTCTTAAGTCCTTGACAGGAGAGATGCAAAGTGATGATACTTTATTGTTAATTGTTCCCAAACACGAAGAGCGAATATCACACAGTAGCTTCAATGGATACTTCAGAGAGAACCCAACTCAAGAGCTAAATAATTGCTTGACTTTCACCAAAGGCTTCAGTTCCGGAAAGTTGCCCTATGTATTGGAGCACACTCAAGATATGGGCTACAGCAAATACTTGGACATGTGTAAGCCAGTTGGAAGTGGTGAATATGATGGTGGAGACCCAGTGGAATTGTTAGCTTCCGATTGTTCTGAATACGGGGAACCGGAAAGCTGGAATCAAAACCTTAACTTAGGAAGGCATCTTCCATATGTCAGTGGCTCTACTACAGTTCTGCCATGTCTACCCAGCGAGACACTATCTTCCTTTAACACAGTAGATTTAAGTCCCCAGCATGTTCCTAGTAGGTGGGAATCCTCAATGAAGGTTGGTTACCACTCCTTCAGATCTCCTGAGAATATACTTGGGGAAGATATATCTGAAATCAAAGCACCCCTGTTTTGTAACAGTAACCATTCCTTTTGCCAGCTGTCTCCAGAGGACCCTTACCTCGCTGGAGACACTGCCCATCACTATTACCAGAATTCCTTGCCCCTCAAAAGGAATGAGTGGCCCAGCGAGGAAGACCCAAAGTATACAAATCTCGACCACTGCAACAATGATAAGTTTTTCAACTTCTTTCCTTTGCGGTGAAGCTCTTCTATCATCTCTCCCAAGTTCTGAGACAAACATTGTGTTGCCACTCGATTCTGGATGTCACTTAAGTTACATCCCACATGAGTATTCTTTTATGTTTTGTAGTTGAATTTCTTGATTCAACATTTTGTGGTTGAATGCGTGCAGCAATTTGGGTGAAGTATTTCACAGCGAATAAGTTGGCTATATTACGCCTGCACTTGTGGATAAATCATGAAAGCACAGACTGAGAGTTCCACTGATTGGATGCACTCCTCTGCACGCAGTGAGCCCAGGTGCTTCACCTACTTGTGTATCCATCCCGTTTTAAAGCTATTTTTTTCTTCTTTCTCAGAGTGAGAAATAACTTTAAAAAAATATATAGAACTAATTTTATTAGGAATGATCGTTTACAAGTAGACTCTCCTTAGTCTGTATCAATCTGGCATGAGAAATGAGACCTACATGTGTTATGTTCAAACTAACTACTTTATTGTTTTCTGCCTATGGTACAGGAATCTCCACAGGTTGGCAGCTTTCATTTGATAAAGACCAGATCAGGCTCAGAGGCATTTGGGGAAGGGGGTGGTTGTCAGACTTTGTCCTCTTGTATTTATGTAGGGAGTCCGGGACCGGGCTGATGTCTTGCTTGAGCCCTCCTTCCATCCAGGATGGTTGCTCTCTAACAATACAACTAACTTATCATGTTTTCACCTTTTGCTTTGAGTAGCAAGATGTAATTTCACAATGGTATTTTTATATTCTAGAATTCCAAATACTGGTATTCATTGCTGTTTTGGTGTTTTGATTATGATTAAAAGGATATTTTTACACCTTAATTTATTGATTGTCCATGAAATTGTTATAATGACCTCTGAATATCTCACATTAAAAACTGCCCTGGTGGAGACCAAAATGATTTTAAAAATGCTCATTTGTAAGTGAGTCATTCTTTGTACACAATAGAAGACTGTTCCTTCACTTGGAAAACGGAAACTCAAAAGTTGGCAGAGGGAAAATAGGGTCAGATCAGCCTGTATCAGGGGTGAAATCAAGCAGGTTCTGACAGGTTTTGGAGAACCGGTAGCAGAAATTTTGAGCAGTTAGGAGAACCGGCAAATACCACCTCTGGTTGGCCCCAGAGTGGGGTGGGAATGGAGATTTTGCAGTATCCTTCCCCTGCCATGCCCACCAAGCCATGCTCACCAAGCCATGCCCACAGAACCAGTAGTAAAAAAAATTGGATTTCACCACTGGCCTGTATATTTGGCGAAGATAGATTGGCAGATCTTTCATCTTTTTATGCCCTTGAATTGCTTATCCTACCATCTTATGGAATGGCTTTCCTTCTTTCATTTTTGGGGGCCAATTACTCAACAGAAAGCAACTCCAAAAGCCTCATAAACCAACACAGTTCTTATCCAACATGTACTTAATGGGATGGGTACACATTTTGCTGCTAAAACAAATAAGTTTAATTAATTAGTAAATGATTACTACAAGGATACCCAGAACTACTGTATAACATTAGTACTTACAACAGATGTTGGAAGAAGCCAAAGATTTTAAGAAACCAAAGATCTTGGTGTGATGGAACTGCATCCCATAATTCTAGCTGAAATTATTTTAGGTATCCACATTTACCATATGCCTATCTCCTGTAATGGCTGCCAGGAGGTGATGGCCATGTACATCATATTTCAGCTGCCTTCTTGGTTCTTCATTTTTTTTAGTGCAGGTGGTTTGAATGAACCTTAATGATCTGCTTGGTGTCCTTGGAACCCCAAACAGCAAATGGCTGCGGAGATTATACTGGCATACATCGGATTGCAGGCTGCTTACCATAGCATAGCATTTCTATTTGCACTGTAAAACATGTTACAACTAGGAGGAAACTGGGCAAGCACATACATGGCTACAAACATTCAATTTATCATGCTTGAATGATACATTCCAGGTAAAATGTTGCTCAATGCCAAGTAAATGGATAACAGCACTTTTGGTAGGATTTCTAAGTTTGAAATTGAAAACTGTACATATTCAGAGGTTTTTTTAAAAAAAGAGCAACAAGATTCTTCCTGTTGAATTCTGCATTTGCTCAGGATTAACCCATGGAGGTTGTGCAGATGAAGATGAAGATAGTTTTCTTTTTTCTGAACTTTCTCTTTTCACTCCTTCCATTTCACATTTCCATTCTCTCTCTCCCTCTCTCTTTTCCCTGACATAATCTTTCCCTTCCTAACAACATGGTGTAAGGAACAGATACTTCTTCTAAGAAGCCTTAAATTACCTTGCAGAAAGTTTTTGAAATTTAAGCCAAAAGTTTCATGTGTGCCTAGAGAAAGAGTTGCTCCATTCTGCTTTAAACCGACTATCCAGAAGAAGCCAAGATGAGAAATGAATATTGGACTGGAGATGTTTAAATTAAATTAAATGTCCATTTAATAATACATCTCATTTCAGTTCTGGGAGAATGCAGCGAGAAGTTAACCACAATTTCTCTCAGCTAACCTTTTATGGCTATAAAGTACAGATCTCCAAACCTGGCAATTTTAAGAGTTGTGGACTTCAACTCCCAGAATTCTGAGAGTCGAAGTCCACAACTCTTAAAGTTACCAAGTTTGGAGACCCTCTCTATAGAAGAGTTTCTTCATCAAGGCTCTTTGGATCATCCTGAACCCATAGCTGGTATTTCCCTCAGCTAGAACATCTTTTGTGCATGTATTGCACTCCCGCAGAAACATCTACTGGCTCCTGGAAATGCTGGATGAGGCCTCAACAAGAAAGCAAGAATTTTCAGTTTAGACGGGCTCTTGGAGGTGATGCGGCTCTGTGAAACAGCTTCAAGAAGATGCTGCACAAAAACCTCTATGACAAGTTGAAACCTCAACATTTTCAGAGTTTGTAAATGTTTATATTAAATGGGTATATTAAAATTATTATTGTTATTTATTAAGTTTATAGATAGCTGCAGTCATCCTTGACTCTGAGTGGTATACATACCCAACTCTATAAATCAGGTTAAAATTGTAACAGAAATTAGAGTAATGAGGTAACAATAGCAACATAAATACAAAAGTTAGGGAACATAATACCGTGTTTCCCTGAAAATAAGACCCTGTCTTATATTTTTTGGAACTCCGAAATAAGCGCTTGGCCTTATTTTCGGGGAGTCTTATTATTTTGGGGTGTGTGGAGGAAACACAGAGGAAATGGTGGGGACCGGCTGCGCATGTGTTTAAATATTTTCGGGGAGGGCTTATTTTCAGGAGGGGGCTTATTTTAGCGCATGCGCTCAAAAGCCCGATTGGGCTTATTATCAGGGGATGTCTTATTTTCGGGGAAACAGGGTAGTAGAATTGAACAAAGAAGCAAACATCATACAGGCAGTCCTCAACTTACAACAATTCATTTAGTGACCATTCTAAATTACAACCGCAGTAAATAAAGTGACTTATGACTGTTTTTCACACTCACGACTGCTGCAGCATTCCCTGGGTCACCTGATCAAAATTCAGATCTTGGCAACTGACCCATATTTATGACGGTTGCAGTGTCCCAGGGTCTTGCGATCGCAGTTTGTGACCTTCTGACAAACAAAGTCAATGGGGAAGCCACATTCACTTTACAACTCTTAACAACTGCGTTGATTCACTTAACAACTGTGGCAAGAAAGGTCGTAAAATGTAGCAAAACTCACTTAACAACTGTCTTGTTTACCAACCAAATGCTGGGCTCAGTTGTGATTGTAAGTTGAGGACTACCTGCACTGTCCGAAGCAACATTACAATATCTCTGCCCCGCCCAATTTTGAAGATACAAAAGTCGCACATACACACACCCCAGCAGTTTTGTGATCACACTTGTGGTGCTTGGCTACCAGGTCACCTTTATAGGCATTTGCAGTATCTCACGGTCACATGGCCACAATTTTCAATGGGTTGTATTTTTTTTTTTTTTCTGGTTTCTGGTTAAAAAACACCATTTGGGTAAATTTGAGTCAACCGCCACAAAAGAAGTCATAAAATTGGATCCAGTGACCCACTTAACTACTGCAATGACTTACGATCATCATTCTGGGCTCAATTACAGTAAAGTCAAGGACTACCTATACAGCATACTGCGTAAATCTAATCTATGCCAAGAGTTAACTTGCTCATTGTTTTAGTGATAAGGGTACAACTGGAGTGAACAAATGCACATATAGCCCAGATGTGTTGGACTTCAGCTTCTTTAATCAACGATCTGGGTTCTCCAGAATTATTGTATCTGGAAGGTGCTAGGTTGGATAATTCAATAACTATGAAGCTTATCGGGTCATCTGTATTTTTTCATTCCGCAAAGGTGGGGAAAATAGGGAATGGGGATCCTGGGCGAAAGTACAATCAACAGTGCTCTTTCAGTGGGAGGAAGACCTTGTCTTGCCACCTTCCTGATAAGCTTTGTGGGTTGGGGTAGCGGTTTCTACAAGACACTGAAACCAGTGATAGCTCCAATGCCATCTGAATGGCAACCCATAGCCATTTCCTGGTGAGTAGAGAATGTTATACAATCTTTTAAGAAGGGCCACATTAAAAAAAAATCTATTTCATTGTCTAGATTTCCCAACTAGAAAGAAGAAGGGAGAGGGGAAAGAAGAAAGGGGAGGGAAAGGAAAGGAAAGGAAAGGAAAGGAAAGGAAAGGAAAGGAAAGGAAAGGAACTTGGTACAGAATTTTCAGTTCTTAGATATTGGGAGGGCTGGAGTCTCTTCCTTCCTTCCTTCCTTCCTTCCTTCCTTCCTTCCTTCCTTCCTTCCTTCCTTCCCTCCCTCCCTCCCTCCCTCTCTCCTTCCCTCCCTTCCATTTCTTTTTCTTTCTTTTCCTTCCTTCCTCCCTCCCTCCCTCCCTCTTTCTTTCTTTCTTTCTTTCTTTCTTTCTTTCTTTCTTTCTTCCTTCCTTCCTTCCTTCCTTCCTTCCTTCCTTCCTTCCTTCCTTCCTTCTCTTTATTGGGAAGAAACCTGATCTCAAGGTGGCTCTG